AACCCAGCAAAGCGGGTCCTTGCAGCTAGTAACCATATAAAAAGCAATATATTTTTGTTTATTTGTTTATTATATACAGTTGTCTAACAGAAAAGTAAACTATCTTATTTACAAATCTTTTCAAAATAGACAGTTTGACTGGGCCCTTCAAAAAACCAGGCCTTAGACATTTGTCTCATTTGTCTATGCGATGATCCGGCCCCGATTCTTATACATTTTACAGACATTAAAAGTATTTTTAAGTTTTTAACTGTAAAAATAATGTGAAATATATATAAAATAGATTTTAAACATTATCCAAGTTAATTTGTAAAAATGTTGAATGAAAATTTATTACCTTTATTGTGAAACAGAGTGTACATGATGTTCAGTTTAAAATTTATCCAGGCACAAAAGATATCCTTTTGAATTGCACAAATGTATGGATAAGATGCATTGGTTTTACTGCAATGTTTAAAGTAAGATAGATTAATTCAAAAAAGAGGATAGATGTTGCCTCAGAACTACTGCATGTTTTATACACAAATTTTCAACATAAGAACAAGATGAAAATTAAAAATGCAGTTGTGACAAATTATACGATGATACACTTGATGCTGCTGTCCATTAAAAGGGCTAATGTCATGTAGTTTGTTAATTGGTAGAGCATTGCTATAATGTTTTATGCTTACGAATACTACTGTGAAATGGTTACACTTTATGAGGAAATGAGACAAAATGTGCAAGAAGCAACATGTATATTTCATGAGCACTTTCCAGCTGCACCAAGACTTACACATATAAAAATATATGTTAAACATAATATATCATTTGATGCAAACATGGCCCATTTTACCAATATCTTAATGGGTTCAAAGGTTTGGCACATTTTTATGCACATCTACTTACAAACATAGGTAAAGCAACTAGAGAATTTGGATTACAGCAACCACAAATGCATCAAATTTTGCATTGTCATGACATACACCAATTCAGTTGCTCTTTGCAACTGAATCAGTGGAGAGTGTGATTTTGGTGGATTTTTTGGAGCACAGGTGCACAATAAATTCTGTTCAGTACATCAGCACCGTGAGAAGATTAAAGCACATCTTCAGTGAGTTCGCCCAGTGAAAGCTCTGGTGAATGTTCTTCTTTTGCATGACAATGCAAGATCACACAACAGAATACAAATCACTCATGAGATTGCAAAAATTGGGTGAGAAATCTTACCTCACCCACCATACAGCCCTGACTTAGCACCATCAGACTACCATTTGTCAGGCCACTAAAGGAAGCTCATTGTGGGCATCACTTTAAAGGTGAGGAAACACTGAAAAATTTTGTTTGCCATTGGCTGAGTAAGAAAGTGATTTTTATCAGGCACGAATACACATCCTTGTTAAAAGATGGACAAAAACTATTGAAAAGGATGGAGATTATATTGAAAAGTGAGAACTTAATCATAAAAGTTGTGGCTAAATGCTGTATAAATTTCACTTAGTTTTCTTGTAAAATAAAAGAGAAATAAAATTGGATGCATTACTTTTTCACTGACTCTTCATACAACTGATCAGAATCAGATATCTTGGTCTAACAGATTTGATTAAAGTTACTAAAGGTGTATTGCAGGGGATGCATTGAGTCCCACATTATTTAATATCTACATAAATAGATTGATTATGATTAACTCATTGATTGAATCAAATAATGTAAGTATTAATATTGAAGCTACAGAATTACATTTGTTTCTCTACACTGACAACATTGTTATCCTTGTAGATATGCAATATGACCTACAAAGATCCAAATAATTGAAAAATATTGCAATGATTACTTTTTAAATATACATTTAGATAAAACTAAAATTATAGTTTTTAAAAATGAACTTTTTTATCTTTGGGTGTTGTTAAATGGTATCAGGAAAATGCAATAATACAGACTTCATTTTTATATACCTAATTTGGAGTCCCATTTTCTTATACTGGTAGTTCCCAACAGGGTTGGTAATGCCACCAGTAGGGCTTTTTGGTGCAAGGAAAATTTAGGGGGTGTTGAGGATCAACTGCGATCCTCCCAGGCAATACTCGCAAGAATGCACTAAAAAGTTTGATTAATACTAAAAATCATTGTATGCATGTTTCAACAAATAGTTCTAAATGTTTTTTAAGCAAGATCAGTCTGTATTAAAAGTAGATATTGGTACATTATAGCTTTGTTCCTAATACCTTTTTGATTAGTACGTGAACAAGTTGCAGCAGTGCAGTGCACCACACAGAACATGACAGTGTGTGTGTGTGTATGTTCTGGCTCAATCAACAAAACTTATATTTCTTGATCAAGCTTATATGTAGTCATGTCAAGGACATCCTGGAATATTGAAATTTAAGAATGATATAGCTTATTTAACTGATTTATATAATAAATTTAATAAAACAAATCTACAGTTGCAAGGAGATGATTTGAATTTGATTAAAAGCAAAGGCAACTATTTCTGAATTAGTGCCAAAACTTGCCTTGTACAAACAAAATTTAGGTTGAAGACAATTCTATCAGTTTCCAAATCTTTCCTCTGTGGAAACAAATAGTGGTAACATTGTGGTATTTTGCTAACATTTGAAAGCACTTAAAGAAGATTTTACAAATAGATTTCAGGATGTCCTTGACATGACTACTCAAGATTGGGGACTAGAATCTTTCTCAAACCTACAAACAGCAGAATTATCACTACAGGAGGCGTTGGTAGAATTGTGAACAAATGAAGAGTTAAAATTGAAATTAAAAAATGGATATCAAGAATTTTGGCTTAAAAGACAAATTCCAGTATTATATCCAACTTTATGGGCTGCATCAAAGAAGTTTTTAATTGCATTCACATGATCATATTTAGCCGAAAGAGAATTTAGCATAGACAGCAATTTAATAATAAACTTTCTACAAACCTATAACCAATGTGAAATATGTTCAATTGCTTAGGCTAACGTTTTCAGATCCCACTGGATCCTTCATCAGGCTATGTTCCATTTGTAACGATCCGTTAGAATGCCAGCTGTCTTTGGAACGAAATTTCAAATATCGTATTTCGAGTTCCATTTGGAATCACATGCCTTCCAACTCGAAACTTCGGTTGCTACGTAACGATCTTCTATTTGTATGTCGGATTATGTATTTCTATGAATAAATTTGTTTGAGTGTGTCGGAAGTCGGAGAAAATGCGTGTAGCTATTTTTAACTTATAAGTACCGATGTCGTTTTAATTTGAATCTCCTTTCTGTATTAGGGCTTGCCATGCCAAAGATAATGTGATTTCATCTTTGGAATTAATGGGGGTTAATGAGTTGTAGGATTTGCATATTTCTATTTGCAAATGTCGAATATACAAAAAGGATATTACAGATGGATGGCCACCTACAAAGTTAAAAACATCAAGAAGTCAGCACGAGTGTATTGATTCAAAGAGGACATATCAAGCGCGATTAGATGGAGCCGCGATAATAACATCACATTCACTAAGGCTGATAAAACCAAGGCATTGATAGTGATGAAAAGGGAAACTTACGAAAGGGAGTTGTATGAATATATCGAGGATACCAGATGTGTTGAGCAGGAAACCGGAGTGATTGAAAAACTCCACGACAGAGTTAAACGCTTTTCGGGCTTGAGATTGGTGAAGAGGCTAGGGATGCAGGATATAGTCATGGACGCACCAGACACCCCCAAACTGTTCGCATTTGCGAAAACCCATAAACAAGGGCAGAAGCTAAGATCTGTTGTTTATAAAGCTAAATCTCACACCCGCAAATTGGAGGCAGCTTTGCATCACATCATCTCACCACAGTTACAAGGATACCGATATACTATTTCCAGTTCGAATGAATTAATAGAAATCCTTAAACATACTGAGCAACCGGCTTACATATCAATCATGGATTTCTGTTCATTATACCCTTCCATTGAGATGCCATTTTGTTTTTGTGCCATCAGAGACTTCCTTTTGCAATACGTGAATGATGAACGGTTACACCAACAAATTCTGGAGTTGGCACACCTGGTATGCTACTACTCTGTGTTCCAGTTCAATGGAATCACTTATAACCAAGGCAGAGGTGTACCTATGGGTAGTGCGGTCTCAGGAGATCTATGTGAACTTGTCATCCGACAATTGGAGGAAGAGATAATTCCAAATTTCTTCAACAGCATCATTTTATACAAGCGTTACGTCAATGATGTCATTATACTGTGGAGGAATGACCCTGACATCAACCTCTTTGTGGATCAGGTAAACAACCACCCTTATGGCCTAACTATCGAGCTGGAACAGCATAGTGATTTCACGGTCCACTTTCTGGATGTGAGCATTGCAATTAGAGGGTCTAGCATAAGCACATCTATATACCGCAAGGAATCGGACTTCCCAACGTATATACCGGCGGACTCGTGCAACCCGATCGGATACAGATTGGCAGCATTTAGGGCACTTGTCAAAAGAGCACGCATGCACTGCTCTACACAGAGGGCATTGGATAAAGAAATGAGATATCTCCAAAAGGTGGCCAGCCTACATGGCTTCAACAACATAATACAGAGATTGGCAAGACAATACAACGCCGGAATACCACCGTCTGCTGCCACTAATGGGGATAGCATACAACAGGAACAGCGTATCATACCGGTCACATACAACCCGATCTTAGATTCCGTGTATCATAGAATCGCGAGACAACAAGGAGTGCGCATAGCATACAGAAGATGCCTGTCTATTTTTCATCTTCTACGCAATGAGAAAGACAAGCCAGATCAAGACAAACTTCCTGGGATGTATGCAGTGCCTCTCACCGACCATAGATGTGACAGAGAATTAGTATACATTGGAGCCACGAAAAGGGCAGTTGGGGTAAGATGGAAGGAACACCGAAAGGACATTATACACAACAGATGTACCACCGCTTTATCTGTATATGCATCGGATCTGGAGATATCTGCAGACTTCGCGAGGGCCAAACTCCTTATCACAACATCACATGTGGACCAACTCAGATGGTTAGAACAAATAGAAATATGCAAAGCCTACAACTCATCAACCCCCATTAATTCCAAAGATGAAATTACGTTATCTTTGGCATGGCAAGCCCTAATACAGAAAGGAGATTCAAATTAAAATGGCATCGGTACTTATAATAAGTTAAAAATAGCTACACACATTTTCTCCGAATTCCGACACACTCAAACAAATTTATTCATAGAAATACATAATCCGACATACAAGTAGAAGATCGTTACATAGCAACCGGAGTTTCGAGTTGAAAGGCACGTGATTCCAAATGGAACTCGAAATACGATATTTGAAATTTCGTTCCAAAGACAGCTGGCATTCTAACGGATCGTTACAAATGGAACATAGCCTGATGAAGGATCCAGTGGGATCTGAAAACGTTAGCCTAAGTAATTGAACATATTTCACGCTGGTTATAGGTTTGTAGAAAGTTTATTATTATATTCTTCCGGTGTGTGTCGATTATTTATTTAGACAGCAATTTACTAACAAAGATAAGAAACAGGTTATCAATAGTGGAACAGTGCAATTTAAGGTTGCTGATGACAAATATGGCACCAAATATCGAAAAATTAGGGTCATTACACCAAGCTCGGCCCTCTCACTAATAATAATACAGTAAGACCCTGATTAATGCTGATTCAATATAACACAGTCTGCTCAAAGACTAAAAAAAAGCTCAAAATTTATGCTGATTCAAATTATTGTGGTATTTTATTGATTAATATATAATACGATTATTCCCAAACATGAACCAATCAGCAAAAGGTGGTAATTTATCAGAGTGCTGTACTTTCCTTAAATATATGTTTTTTTTGGTGCAATTTTGGAAAAAAAAATATAACATCATGCATGCCATATGCAGTATCAACTTTGCTTGGCAAGTATTAACTGATAAATGCACTAACGAAGTGTGGAAGAAGTTATGGCTGAAGGTATCGAAGAATTCTCAATGAGAAAAACCTATCTCTGTATTGTTAGGTTGACCAAATTGTCAACCTAATCAATACGGCAGGACTAGGATGTAGACGAGCAGGATATTGAGGAGTTACTGCAGGTTACTGGTGAGAGCCTTACCAACAATGACCTTTGAGAACTGGCAGAACAAGGAATTCATGTAGAACTGGAAAATAGTGATTCTGAAAGCGAAGAATCCAAAGAATTTCTCTACAGATTTCCTTAGTAAAAGTTTGATAACGATAATCGAAATCATCGATCAAATTGTAGCAAACAATCCAGGTTTTGAAAGGAGTGCAAAAACAAAACGGGGCATTTTGGATGTGATCTTCTGCTACCGACATTTGCTTAAGGAAAGAAAAAAGCTACAAATTAAACTACACAACTTTACTGCAAAAAAACAAGAATTTCAGAAAAGCCAAGACTTTCGTCCCAAAAAATGAACTTTAGATTTCTGTGTGTGTATATATGTTTATGTGTTATTTAACATACATTATTATGCAAATTAATATAAAAACAAGTAAAATGGCAAAATTGTATTTGGGACAAGACTATGTCTCGGAGACTCACTACTAAGCGGAATCACTTTGGCACAAGGTGGGTCTCGTTCTCATTTTCCAATCTTCTTTGGTATTGCTGGTTTTGAGCGCAATCTTTCAAACTTTGCCAGCCATGACCACAAGGTCATCCACAATGCATTTTCGATGAAATTAACCTATCCAATTTCGAAATTTCTCTCCGTTGTGTGTCAGCCCAGGTTGAATTTTTGTCAATGCTTGACAAAAATTTCCTGTTTTTGAAAAAATTAATATTTTTATTTTGCACAAACAAAATACAGTTTAATCCAATTATAACATATTGGATGTAACAACAACCTTAATATAATGTCAAATTTTTATCGGTCTCACGATTTTACTATGATATAATATGTTTGCACTTCATGCCGACGTTTACTATCACTATAATACTTAAGTGCAGTGGCGTTACAGGAGTGGAGTCCCAGACACAGAAATTTATCTGACTTTTGGAGAAAGATCTTATCCGCTAGCACTTTCAGTAGTGTAAAACTACCATCATCAAGCAGTATATAGAATATGATAGTTTAAAGCTTTCCGAACGATATTCTGATGGTTTTACAAATTTTAATATTGAATATTTTGAATGATGTTTCTGACGGTTCAGCTGATTATGGTTTTCGAATGTTATTTAAAAGTTCTTACATCATAGCGCATAGATAAGAATGATAATAAATAAAAGTATCATAGTGAGAAATGGCAGTAAAAGAGCTTAGTTCATGCATGTAGTGCGCACCAAGGCAAAATAAGCATGTGAGCAAGAAAGGAGTATTAATATCTTGGGTTGAGTTGTTTGAAAGCTGTTATCCAAATTTGTGGGACTCCACACCGTGCAACTCCCCAACTTTCAAGCTCCCACAAATTGTGGACAATTGTCCTAGCCATCCCCAAAATAAGTCATCTTACAAATGTAAAACTGGTATTTTGGTCTCCAAACACTATGTCAAAAATTAAACCTTTTGACTGAGACATAATCAAAACATTCAAAATGCACTACTGAGTCCAGCTTCTACAGTAGGTCATTGCTAAAATGTCCATCTGCTGCATCAGTTACTGTTCTGGATGGTATTCTCTGGGTTACTTCTGCTTAGAATAAAGTTCAGCCTGAAACACTTCAGAAGTGCTTCAAGAAAGCTAAATTTGTTTCAACTTGAGCATGATGTTGCACCAAACAGCCCATCTTCCATGGTGGAATTTGAGGGAGTAGATTTTGTGGGTTTTGTTGCAGTGGATAAGAACATGGCAATCTGCAATGAACCTGACCTAAAAGCAAATTTTCAATTAGCATTAATCAAAGCACAATTTAGCAGAAAAGCACCGGAAGCAATTGAAGTAAAAGAATTAAGTGAGAAGAACCTAGAAATTGATTGCAGATATTCCAAATGAAGAGGATGTCAATCATTTGATAATGCAGTTAGTTATTTGCCAAGGAAAAATGCTTAGGTATGCTGAGTAGTATAGCCAGTATTGAGAATGCTTTCTCCACTTACCTTCATATAAAGAATAAGAAACAGACTAAAATTGACTTTTTTATTTTTTTTTCCAAACCATGAGAAAACAATACATATGCAAATGTATTGATTTTGTATGATACAGTATTGTATGAATGATTTTCTTGTGTTTTCACAGTGTGTGTTTCTGTATGACATTCTCTAATAAAAGCTGTACAATAAAACAAAGCGTGTCTACTTATCAGTACAGTTGTTCTATATTTTGACCAGTTTCCTTTAGTCCCTTGGGTGGTCAACTTTCAGAGGTCTTACTGTATATAAATCTATCTTTTTATTCTTAAAATGGCTCATGCTATTGTCAAAAGATATAACTTATTTAATGGTAATTTGAAATAAATAAAATGTTTATTTAAAAATTTATGAATTTTATAATTATAATTAGTTTTTGTGTGTGTGTGTGTTATATACACAGGGTTGTTAAAAAAATAACTTCTCCAACTCAAGAGGGCTCTGTAGCATGTTCCACTGCTAAAAAGGAAACATTTGGAAAATAGGTTGTCCAAACTCACCATTTATTAAATAAAAATTTTTTGTGCAAGAAGTCACCAATAAGTGGTGCCAGAGTTATGGAAATCAGTTGTAAATGTTCAATATGTCCTCCATTCACAAGAATATTTTCCATTGCTGAACTCAATGAGTCCACTTTAATTGTGAGAATATGCTGACAAATACTGTCCTTTAGATCTGACACAGAATCACATTGTAAAGTACTATATTATTTTTCTGACTTTTCTAACAATTATCGACATGACTGTGTGCCAGAAATAGCCGTTACCTAACGGGTACTTTATGCGGATTCACGTTAATGTGCCAAGCCTGGACTTTAAGCATGCACCGAATTAAATAATGACAAAGTTAGTCAAAAACAATCCAATATTTAATAAAAATTCTAGTAATAACTATATACAAAATGTAGTAAAAATCAAATAACAATTTATTCAACGTAAATCAATAAAAATCAACCTGACAAAACTCAAATCAATCTATTTTCTAACTTAACTATTCCCCTTTGGAATTTGACAAAAAATTCAAAGACTTAACTTATGTACAATGATTCTTATGAATTAAAGGTCCTAATTGTCACCTCAATATACTAGGAACCTTTTTCCTCAACTCTCAAGACTTTCTCTAATCTTCATCCACAAATCAAATAACTTCAAAATTGCCTTGGAACTACTTTATCCTATCAGACACATCTCTCTCGTTTGCTGCTACGAAGCTCACCACGCTCATTGCTAACAGAAACTCACCTCGGTCATCTTCACTTGAGGTTTGGTCTTTATACTGTCAGGTGATGTCACAATTCTGAGTGAGATCACTCCCTTCATTTACATACTTATTTGCTAACAATAAAAACTATGTTTGTCTGGCAGCCTATTGTCCGACAATACTTGCTAAACTTTTACATTATTATTATTATTTTTTTTTTTTTGGGATGTTTTATTCTTTAAGGTTTAGCAAGTTCCTAAGTTGTGCTTGTGGGGTCTCCCCCCTTTTCTCGGTGCGGACTTACTTTTTTCTGCTTGGGAGCACAAATGTGAGCGAGTTTTATCTATGGTGCTTTTCTCTCATCGGTGAGTTGGTTTCTCTTCTATTTTTAAGTTTCTAAGGCGAGTGGTGAGGAAACCTTTGTCCTAACAAAACATAAGCCGCAAACAAAAATAGAATAAAAGCAAAAATAAAATAACGCTCAGACTTGGTTCCTTACAACATCTTTCATGATAGACCTGTTCTTTCAAGGAACTCCATTACCAGAAGTCACATGGGTTGAGATCAGGTGAATGAAGAGTCCAAGCTGTTGGGAAGTAATGGATGATCACCCATCCACCTGTGAAACTGCCTTAACACACATTGAACAGAGTACATGATGTGGGGTGGTGCATTATTTTGCATGAATATGGTATTCTGAAGGCACTTATATCATTGAAGCCCTGGGATCACAAAAGTCATTATCATGTTAAGATACCATTCTCCAATGATGGAACAGTTTGAACCCCAGTGCATAGATCTGTCATCACCTATCAGTGACATTTTGTATAAAAAATTTTTATTTAATAAATTGTGACTGCAACATCTGAATTACTGTACCTGTTGTCCAAATGTTTCATTTCAAGTAGTAGAACACATTTCCGAGTCCTATGAGTTGGGGAAGTTATTTTTTTAAATAACCCTGTACTTTAATTAAAACTATTATAAAAACAGTATTTGTCATATATGTAAACCTCCAAGGAATAACCCACACCAAACTGCCCTTGACCTAGTTCGGTCACTCCTTACCTTTGACTTTTGTTGCGTTTCTTTGTCTCTGAGATGTCGTTTGTTAGCTGTAGTGAGGCATAAAGTTACATTTGTATTATAATAAAGTTAATTACATATGCTAACGAGTAGTTTATTTTCAGAGACACCTTATTTTTATTTTTACTTTATTTTTCTAGCTTTCTACTATTGGCTTTCTGTTGATCTATTCAGCTAAACTTTTCAGGATAGGTTTTAATTAGAACAAATATTATATTACATAAAGCTTTTGTTACATTTGCATTATTTACATTTTAGTTTTTAATATAAAGAAAAGTCAATTTGTAAAAACAAACATTTAATTAAATTTATCACATTTATTTTTTAATAAAAATATTTTTTGCTTTCATTAACAAATAATGTACAATTGATAAACTCCAAAATACCTTTAAAATGCAGTCTATTTTAAAACTTCTCAAACGTTTTCGGTCAGATTAACAGACCTTCTTTAGGATCAAACTAATAGAATTTAAATTTGCCAAATGGAAATTCCAAAACATTCTATAATCTTCTCATACTCAATTGCGCATGTCCATTTTTATAATTGTAATGCCGCCACTTTCCATGCTGATGCTATTTTGTTTGATTCTCGAAAATTTATATTTTGCCCTTTTTCTCTGTATTTGAAAATGTGCCAGGCTTCTGCATATTTTAGATGTCTTCTATTTTCAACCTTTTGTATGACATCTGTCTTGCTCCATTTGATTTCAATCTTTTTCTGCTTGTATTAAGGCTTTTACTTTATTTTGCTTAAGTCCTACATCTCTTGCGAGCTTTGTGATGTATTCCAGCTCTTTACGTGTGTCATGAATTTTGCTACAATAAGTGTATGCTATTTTAATCAGTGCTCTAAATGCTGATTAAAAGAACATTTACAAATACAGAGAAAAAGGGCAAAATATAGATTTTCGAGAATCAAACAAAATAGCATCAGCATGAAAAGCGGCGGCATTACAATTATAAAAATGGACATGCGCAATTGAGTATGAGAAGATTATAGAACATTTTGGAATTTCCATTTGGCAAATTTAAATTCTATTAGTTCGATCCTGAAGAAGGTCTGTTAATCTGACCGAAAACGTTCGAGAAGTTTTAAAATAGACTGCATTTTAAAGGTATTTGGAGTTTATTAATTGATTATAGTAATGCAGGTAGAGATATAAATAATGTACAGTACATGTACCGAGTTTTATTAGTAATTTTTCTATATTTACTATTTCATGTAAAGGTTGTCATAAAATAACACTTGAAAATAATGGAGTTTATTCAGTAATTGGTAATTGCAACAGAACTTGTTCCTGGATTATTCCTCCTAAAGAACAGGATGAAAGTAAGTATAAGCATCTATAATATGTCAATGATTTTGAAAGTGACCTAAGTCATGTATTTCTCATTTTGAGATATTTAAGATTTTGTGTTTGGATGTATAAATATTTTATAACTATATAACAAAATATTTCATTGAGTATCTGCTCGTATAATGTAAATATTTTCTATGATTGTAAAATTTGATTTGTAAGTTATAAGTAAATGTGTTATTACAGAGGTCAAATGACAGACCATTTTCAAAATTAATTGTATATTAATGAAAAATAATGAATTTTATTAGAAAAAGTTAGATATGAACATGCTCGTTTACATTTTACAATCATGATTTTGATTAATTTTTTTTATTCTTTTTTAAATTTTTTTAATGTGTTCTTTAGTTTTGAGTACTTCAAAATATTCCTGATAAATTGGCAGGATGTAAGCAATCAGTCCATCATTTCGTTATATGTTTTCTGTTATTGTTCTGATGGTAATGTGAGGAAGTAGATAGGATGACATCACTCACGTGGTGAAGAAATACAAATTCTAGAATTTACGTGAAGGAAGATGTATCATTTTCCGACAAGGAAGTCAAACTGGAAATAAACTTTATTAACTTTTCTCTAGAAATTTATGACTTTAGGCTTTGTAAAGCTTTCAAAAAACATCAAATATTAATTTTTCGAATAATTAAAATAACAGTTCCAGATCCTCATATCAACTTGTAATGGAAGCAATTGAATATTTTGATATAATTTTTGCTTTTCTCTTTTAGGTGAAAAATCTAAAACATGGAATTTGGCATATTATCCAAAGATATCTTATAGAATATTTTATATGGTATAGTTTTTAGAAATCTCAATCATTGTATTTGTGTAGTTCTTGCTGACAAAGTTATAATCAATAGTATCTGACTCAAGCGAAAATTCACACCAAAGGCGTTAAGGAGCATTTTAAGGAACATTTTATTTCCGTCTGGAACTTTCGACAAAGATATGAACATCGTCTTCAAGTAGTAATTAAAAATGAACAGATTTCAAATGGTTTAAATTTAAATGATAACAGCATTAGCCATTTGGAACATAACATTAATAACAAGTAAATTTAAAACATTAATTTGAAATGCGTGACATTATATGTAAATTACAATAGTATCTGTAAAAACCAGATAAGAATAAAGGAATGTGGGGCAAGAGTATGAACTGAATTTTTTGTCTTGTTTTACATGTTGTGTGCAACATTAAATGTTGTGGCTGTATGTCATAGTATAATTTTCACTTAGTCATAGTTTAGAATCTTTCCTTCATTCTTTGTTCTTTCTTACTCTAGTCCTTTGGGAGGTGAGAGCCAATTCATGGAACCACATGAGCAAAGAGGGACAAGGCTACCTGAGGGCATGTTTGGAAAAAGAGGAATCTTTTTCTCTGCTGGCCTTCTGGAAGTAAAAATAATGATGAAGATGCTGAATGTTGTCAAGTATCAGCAAGAATGGTGAAACCAAACTGGCATGAGAAGAATCAATGAACTTAATGAAGCGAATCTCAAATTTAGAAAAACAAAGACAGCGACTCAAAATCAGTCCAAGTGAGTTCTATGTGGCCTCTCATGGAAGTTGTGTAACATTTGTACATCTTGGGTATTCAATTCTGTTCTGTTAACTATCTCGCTATTTCTTCCCTACCCTTTTGGACTTCCTTCTTCCTTAGTATAAGGAAGAAGGAAGTCCAAAAGGGATAGTCCAAAGAAGGAATAGTTATAGCATTATCTGAGCTTGGTTCTTTGTATGTCTCATGATATTTTGTCTGCCAACATTTTGGATTTTTTGGGTGATGCCATGTTACTGCTTATAGTTTTGAGTTTGAATCCTTAAGAACCAGTATCTTTTTTGCAAAAGTACTTTGTTCCACCATCTGCTGTGCGTGACTCTTTATTCGGTATATTTGCCACCATCGGCTAACAATATTTTCATCTTTAACTTTACTATGGTCTGGTAAAAGAATCAAAAGCTTTGGAGATGTCAATATAAATGGTATATGCAAGCAATTTTTCTTCTTTATAATTTAGAACAGTTGCCTTTGCTTTTAGTAAATTACCTGTTGTGGAAGGTTATGCTTGTATGTAGATTGACTAAGGAAACATGACAAGAATATTTAGCAACAGTATTTTATTTCATATATTTGAACAAGTTTTTTGTGAATTTCAACTCTATAATCAACAATTACAACATGGCTTCTAATAATGATTAATGGTGGGAATGACAAAAGATATACCATTCGCAACAAATAAGTACAAATGATACCTGAAAGCATATAACTAATGCATATATACTAACTTAAAAACTAGGGGAAGATCAGAGATGATAGGGAGAGTACAATATTTGGGAAAATAGAATATAGTAAAGAGTGAAATACCCAGGGTTTTGCTGGACTTCACAATTTGGGTAGGATGCCACATTGAAGCTTTTCTGGAAAGTCTCTCCTTGTTGTCTTCATTAAGTTTCTCCTTACACCTAGTATCTACACTTTTTATCGTAACTACAATATAATCCAACATTTTTCTCGGACTGCTTGAATTCTCCAGTCGTTGATATTTACAACCTGAAGCACCACATTCGACATCTGTCCACCTTGAGGTCTGGGGCAAAGAATCTCTCTTTCTTCCACTCACTGGCCCTCAGGGCCTCCTTTCTTTCATTGTTGTTCCTGGTTTCAAGAATTGGTCATCATCACCCAAGGGAAAGAAAGGAAAGTTCTGGAAGCAAGAAAAAACAAAGAACAAAGGAGAGGACTAAAACTATACTTAAATTAATACATACAAAATGGAGTACTGCCACATGTGCAATGTTGAATAAGTGATAATTAATGCCTGAATTTTTATGTAGGGGAAAAAGGGTGTGAATTAGGCTGAAAAGGGTCAGAAATAAGTGCAAAAAATTTACATTTCAGAAAACACAACTAGTATTCAAATAAAAATTTGTTACAGTACATGATATTTATCATTTCATTGTTTTTCTGTAAAGTTCATTTGCTTGTCTGCTAATAAATGCTTATGTATGGAGAAAGATCTTTCTACCTCCATGGAAACAAGTATTTCATGTCTGCAATGAATGAATTCTTGAATTACTGGGTTTTTCCAAATTGACTGCTTGAGCATTTCTTTTGCAAATTCCTCTAAATGGACCAGAGTTTATTTCATTATTCCCCACTGATATTTCATAGTATTTCCAGTTTCTTCCAAACTTTTTATTGCCATTACTAAGAATTTAAATACAGTCGACCCCCCCTATAACACTGGTTCCAATAGTTCTGATTCCTATATCACGGCAAAAAAATTGTGACTGTATTTGTATAAAAAATCTTGTATAATTCGGTAAAACGTCATCGCCGACTAGTGTTGTGACAGGATTGGTTGAACCTAGATCAATAGCGGATATTGTACAAACCATTGAGTTTAAACGAGCAGCGGACCTACTAAAAACCATTTATTATTTAATGTCCATAAAAATTATATTTATATTAATGATGTCTCCAAAGTTCAGCGAATTTTTCGCAAAAAAAAATAATTTATTGGGAAGCACATGAGTGCCATTCAATGACAAGCTCCATGACGAAAACAAGCTTAAGCAATGGCATCTTCAAACGGTGCACACTCGGTAAGTAATCCTACAATTTTTTGTTTATAGCATAGTTTATATGGATTATTCACAAAAAATTGTACGTATTTTGGAAATGTCGAGTCGAATTAGTCTAGAATTGATTAATTTTATGGAAGAAAACCTTTCAAACAGCCATAGTCCGTAAACTGCATACCTGCCAGGCTGTGATTGGCTCATGTATTTAAGGACTCGAAGAACATGAATTTCATAAAAAGTGGAACGTATCTACTGCGTTATAGGGGGTTAACTGTAATAATAATATTTACTACGTATTATATAAACTGTATTGACAAACTTTATACAAGTTTAGTTTCGAAACAAATACATAATAAGACATAAAAACTTCAAGATTGCAAATGAAAAAGCCAGAAAACAACAAACAGTCTATCACTTTCTCCAGATCAAGTTGACAAGCTTTTGTTTTTTCAATTGATATAATAGCCAGAGCTAAGATATTGTTGGAACACGTTGCTTTTTAAATAAGTTTTGATTAATTTTAGTTTTGAAAAACTTCATTCTGGTGTGGCTGTCATCACTGGTAAAGTTAAAAAGAAATGAGGCATGCTGCAATAATGTTGGAGAAGATACTTGAGGCTGCAATGTGAATTAAAAGTAGTTTGGCAACTTCACTTATAGAAGTAATTTCTTTTACCTGACTATAAAAACACATTATAAATAGCTGTTGAGGTCCAAAACTAGACAAAATGTCAGAGGGATAGCCGATTTGTAACAATTCTGATCCTTCCAGAATATTTTTATCAGATGAAGCGACAAAAATACTGTGCTACCGATAAAGTTATTACTTTATTACCGATAAAGTTTTACTGTGCTACCGATAAAGTTATTGACTTCAAATCTAATATACCTTTATATATAAAAAAGAACACTTTTCAAATGTATATGTGGGTGATAAGCACTTAAAAAGTGTACAGAATTGTCGAACAGATTCAAATTTAATAGTTAATCAATTAATTATTAAATCCAAAAAAATTTTTTTTTACAAAATGTTTTTAGAAGTTTTTATTTCACCCTTTCTAACTTGACGCCCTCGTGATTCGTGCACATTGAGCACTTTGCTCCAACTGCTCCATGGTAGCTACGCTCCTGATGATGACTTGTGTTGTTTAGTTTTTTAAAAATATGTTTTCAGCAACATAGGTTTCACATATTCACTTGTTAGAGGAACTGCCAAGGTATTTAACATGCCTATTTAAATCATCAGTATGCTCATCCAATATAAATATAAAGCAGACTAGATTCTCATCCACAGTACTTAACACTTTTTGGAAATTAGACAGAATTAGATAACCCAACAATTAGGGTATAACGTTTTGCAGGGCTTATCACACCAAGGCCGACTGGAAGAAGGACCAGAACTTTATAAAAAAGGTTTGGTCTTTAATAATCACATATCAAATTTAGGTAAGTATGCATTTCGGGTACAAGGACCCCTCATCAGCTTACAAACACATGGCAACAACGTAACAAATACAATACCAATAACCTGTCGGTACAACGGGGTAATCAACATATGCAGTGCACTGCATTTACAAATTATCAAAGTAACTTATACACTAAAACTAAATTATCAAGTATAAATCAGCATCCAATGACAATGTGGTATCACATATTATCTCCACCCGTAAATGTCTTAGTTTCTCCTACATTTTCCAAATTCTGGTAGACGGTTACACTATTAATAATAAATATTGTTAAGTATATTAAAACCTAAACAAAAG